AGCCTCAGCAGGTTCAGCGAGCCCTGTTTCAAGGCAACGGCTCCCACCACACAGAGTGCCAGGAGTGACTTCATTTCGGGAGAGCGGACGAAAAAAGGGCAGAGCTAGGTCGATTAAGCTTGGCTCTTGCACTGATCCCAAACGGCCATTGTCAGGGCATGTGATCGGCTTTGCACAGCAAAACACTGGCCAAGATCTGTGCACAAGGGAACCTCCGAAACGGCACACGACAACAAGATACAAGTAGAATTCTAACTAGCTATTCTGGAAATGCTGCCTGCAAACAGGTTCCCAGGCCTCTGTAAACAAAGAGTGGCTCACCTCGCCAGAGCCAACCTGTTCAGGGACTATGCGACAAAAGCCGGGCATCATGATGTTTATTCCGGATAATGCAACCTCGACCTTTCGCGGATTGCGGGTTCTTGAGGTTTCGTCTGCATTTCAGGTCGCGGAGCAAGGCATTGAGGTTTCCCAAGGACGAAGCACATGGACATGCATTCTATGCATTCTATGTGTGGCTTATCTCCTGAAGAAGACCATATTCCTGCTGACCTCGGGGCTTGATAACGTTCGAGACTGGCGGCTTCCGAGGGTGTCCCGCCACAAACGCCAGAAAAGTCAAGAATGTGCAACACAGTCAGGGCAACAGGCGATCGAACACGGAGACACTGGTGTCTGCGAATGGCCTGTGACGGCAAGAACCGACCCGCAGATAACGAATGCTGTTGATCATGGTGGTGACGAACATTTCTAGTGTCAAAGCTATGGAGACACAGCATGCTACCCAAACTGGCATGGTAATCATTTACAGCAACAGTACAATCGCCATGAGTACTACCACCCGCAGCACTGTCAACGTCGTCATCATAATTGAAACACGTTAAAACAATCATCGTCTTCTTCATCACATGCTTCCCCATCCTCACTAACACCGCGATGGCCACCACCAAGGAAAAGACATCTTCAAAACTTCAACCATGGTCAAGTAGTCAACAGATCTCCCTGCAACATCCGCATCAAAACCGTTGTGGCATACCTGCCAAAGACACAGTTAGTCAAGTCTCCTGGCCATCCCCACATCGCCACACTCGTTCAGCTCAGTACAGTCGCCAAAAGCCGTCATCGTCCCAAGAGGAAAATTATTCAGCCTACCACAGCTGCACTAGTCCCTCCAGTCCCCGAGCTGTTGATCGCATAGAAGCAGTAGTCGTCGTCGTAGCAGTAGCACGAAGAGCAGGATGAGGAGGAGGAGGAGCCGGAAGAGCAGTCGTAGAAGCAGTCGTTGTGGTGAGTGTGGTGGCGGCGGCAGTGGTATTGATCAGTGGTTGCCGTAGCAGCAACAGCAACGGCAGCAGCAGTAGTCTGTATGTGATGTTTTGGTTGTTGTTGCTGCTGCTGTGCTTGGTGTGGCTGTTGATGCTGCTGTTGTTCTGAGAGTTGTGCCTGTTGCGGTTGTTGAGGATGTTGTCGTTGATGATGTTATTGCTGCCGTTGCTGCCGTTGTTGATGTTGCTGTTGCTGCTGTCGTGTTCGTCGTTGATGTTGTTATTGCTGTTGCTCTTGCTGTTGTTGCTGTTGCTGTTGCTGTTGTTGTTGTTGTTGTTGTTGTTGTTGTTGTTGTTGCTAGTGGTGGCGCCGGTGGCGGCGGTGGCGGCGGCGGTGGTGGTGATGGTGGTGGTGTTGGAGTTGGTGCTGGTTTTGTTGCGATTGTTGTTGTCGTTGTTGCTGTTGTGGCTGTGGCTGTGGCTGTGGCTGTGTTGCATTTGTTGTGTTGTAGTTGTTTTGTTTGTGGCTGTGGTTGTGGTTGTTGTTGGGGGTGGGGGTGGTGGTGGTGGTGGTGGTCGTGGTGGTGGCGGTGCTGGTGCTGGTGCTGTTGCGAACGGTGTTGCTGCTGCTGCTGCGGCTGGTGATGCTGCCATGGTGTTGCAGCTGTTGCCGTTGTTGGTGCCATTGCTGTTGCTGTTGCTGTTGTGGAGCATTGCCATTTGCTGTTGTTGCTGCTGCTGCTGCTGCTGCTGTCGTTCCTGTTGGTGTTGCTGTTGATGTTGTTGTTTTTGTTGCTGCTGTTGCTGTTGCTGTTGCTGTTGCTGTTGCTGTTGCTGTCGCTGTCGCTGTCGCTGTTGCTGTTGCTGTTGCTGTTGCTGTTGCCGTTGCCGGTGCCGGTGCTGGTGCTGGTGCTGCTGGTGCTGGTGCTGGTGCTGCTGGTGCTGGTGCTGCTGGTGCTGGTGCTGGTGCTGCTGGTGCTGGTGCTGCTGGTGCTGGTGCTGCTGCTGCTGCTGCTGCTGCTGCTGGTGCTGGTGCTGCTGCTGGTGCTG